TATTGGAGGCATGAATAAAGCCAGCTGTTTTCTACACGTATGTCGTTTTGCCCTTACCCCATGCAAACAACATTAAAAGCAAAAAAATGATATCGTAGATTTTGGATTCCCTAGCATGTTGAAATTTTTTTGATCGTTAATTTGTCATATATAAAAGTAAATCATCACAAGACACTATTTTCTGCAAAGCAGCTAGATAACACGCTTTCATGAAAGAAAGATAAATAATCGTTGTTATATTTGCACCTGAAATTTTCACTATTAGCTATTCCGTACCTGACTTCCCAGTTTTCACAGAATCCTTTTGATCTCCTCTGCTAATTATCTGTCACAAAGACGAAACTACATCCATTATCAGGAAAACAAAACACTGACTCCCCAGATACAATGAAAGCAAAAAAATTATAATTTTTTAAGGTCCATTTGAATATTTATTTAAGATGTGTATAAACACTTCAAACAGACCTTAGTACAAAAATATTTCTCTAAAGTAACACAAATTATACATAACATTGATAAAACTAAACTGAAACAGAAACCACACTAGGTTAAAACATAAAAAGGCATTCAATGAAAGAAAATTGTCATTTAGTATATCCATTATAAGTTTCTTTTGTAACATTTAGCATTTTTGAAAGCTAAAGGACATATAACCTGTATATATATAAGAAGAAAACATAAATAAGATTTAATTATTAGATGAAATTATATCTGCTTATGTGATTAATTTTATACAACATATGTGAGAGCTAGCATATATTTAATAGCGCGCGGTTGCCGAAGACATCTTTAAACCTTTTGTAAATAACAAAGTAAACAAGATCGGGGAAGTATATAATATTAATAGACAACAATAAGGTTATGAAAGGAACAAAAGATTGAAGATTAAGAAAGAGGATTGTTGGGAAACCCCAAATGAAGTAAAAACAGTACAATTAAGTAAAAGGTGAAGAAGAAAGGAGGAAGAAAATAGAGAGAGAAGAAAAGTTTATTGGTTGCATAACAGCTTACACTTACCTCAAGAAGAAGTTCAGTCGAATAAGGGAGATCGATGGAACCCCCAAAACAGTTTATATAATATCAAATAGGAAATGTTCAGGAAATTGAATTCCCTTGTCCCCTTGTCCACGTATGCTGTGGGATTGTTTTTCATAGACACTACAAACCCCAATACCACTTTATTATTTAAGATTCAGAATTCGATCACACTAAATTACTAAATGCAAAAACTTACTTTAATAAATTTTTATAATATAAGGTTAATTAATTTAATAATTGATTAAAATATTCTTATTATATGAATTTTATAAAATTTATACAAAAATAAATTTAATATATCATTACATTTATTTTATTTAATGTATTTTTAAAATATAAGCAAATATCAAATTTTGTATAATATATTTACAAATATTTAAATTATTTAAAATTTGATAGAAATAATCATAAAGATAATGTGTGTGTCGGGTTGGAGTGGCCTATTTTTAAACCTGAACAAGAAAGTTTAGCACCCCGTTTAGAGGTGGACTGCAGGTTGGCCCGTCAACTCATTTAAAAATTAATTTTCAGATACAATAATTAAAGAAAAATTATTATCTATATGTATAAAAATCAAACACGTAAGAGAAGAAGAAAATATCAAATTTTAGGTCATTTTTCTTGCATTAGGAAAGGTCTTATAGCCGTATCCTTCAATCTAAAAGCGATGAGTGGCAGAGGGATGAGCGAGGCAAAGGTGAGTGACATGGGGAGGCTAGTGACAACAAAGGAAGGGGTAGTGGTGAGCGACTACCAACACGAGGCGCATGGGCGAGCAACACAGGGAGGCTGGTGTGTGGTGGAAGGCTATAGGCTTACAACAGTGATCTAAGCTTGAGGAGGGTGAAGGAGGGAAGCAAGTTAAGAACTTGAGAAAAGGAAAATAAAGAACTCTATCGGAGATAGTTGGATAGGGATTAGGTTTCTTGTAATGGGTCAAAGTTGAATTCAACCCAAGTTCAATCCAGAAAATTCTCTATTTATTTTTCAAAGAGCAACCTGATGGACTATCTCGCCCCGAATATGCCAAACTCATTTTCAGATGAGTTATGGTGTCGAGTTAAACAGTTTGGGTTGATGTGTCATATGATATGTGTATAATAATTATATAAGATTCAAACTTTTGAAGGAGCTAAGATGCACATAATGTGGATTCGTATTACAGTTGAGTAAAACTCAACAACCTCTAGGCTTCTTCCATTACAAAATCTTAATGATTATTTTTATTAATTCTCACTTAACTCTAACATTTGGTCAACATGGCAAATGGAAAACAACCCAAGGTTATGTACATCAGTCACAGTTTCTAAATGATCAAATTAAGGCCAGAAATGTTACCTTGTAGCAATAAAAGAAATCTTCAATGCTCTAACAATTATCCTTTGTGAATCCACAGACATAAGTTGGGGAGGAATGTGTTTTCAAATTTGAAAATTAGTAAATTAACTTTTATATTATATATATGAGGATACTTCCGTTGGAAATGAGATGTTTAGGAGAACTATTTTCTTTTAAAGTTAGGGAATTAAAATTAATTGAAAATTATGAGTCAACTGCATTTTTTTTTTGTTACAACTGATTTAGCTTTTACCTTTTTTTTTTTTGTTAATTCTATTATAAATTTTAAAGATAAAAACTATTACTTAATTTTTTTATTATACTATATAATTATTTTAAAAAACTTAAAAAATCATTTTTAATAATTATAATATATATATATATATATATATATATATATATATAGATAGATAGATATATATAAAATACACGTGCATTGCAAATGTTACTAAATAGTTAATAAATAAAAAATGAAGCAAATACTATTCACAAATGCACATATCCTAGTACTAAGTCATATCAATAAGAGTCAACAAATAAAATAATAAAATTATACTAATATTAAACGAATACAAACGCATACTTGTTTAGAAAATCGAACAAACGCATAAGGATGATGATTGATTCAATTAAGGAAGGAGTGTACTAAATTACTCATACATAAGTTAGAAAATTAAATTTTGTAATGAAATTATTACTCCCAATTAAGAATTTAATAAGAATACATAGAAAGTTTTTTATTAAAAAAAACATATACGAAGATTTTATACGACTTTTAGTTAGAATTGAGCTAAAGTCTTCTCTTTAATTTGATGATTTTGAGAAAATACTTTATCGCTGATTTCAACAACCTATCCATGTAATTTTGGTTGTGACAATTCAAATGTTTTGTTACATGAAATTATTTTGAGCAGCACTCTTAACCAATCTTTGATTAAGAAAAATATATATGAATAAAATAGTGCAAAGAGCATCTTATTTTTAATTGAATTGGGACAATTAGAAAACCTATTTATATAATATAATGACATTTTAGTATCTATTTTTTCAAAATGCAAACTCAGTCTTTATATCTAATTATAACTAAATTTAAGCATTTAATAATAATAATTTTGGTGGGTAAGATTTCGTATGTAAGAATACATGAGAATTTATATCTCTCTAAATTATTAAAAGCGAGAAACACATTAAAATATAACAAAGAAGAAGAATAAATTTTAACCTAAAACATAAACATAACTTTGTAAAAGAGAAAGGAGTTTCACACATGACTTCACTTTCTAAAAAATGCAGATTAAAAAAATACAATAAATGTTGATTAGACTTGGGTTAATACTAATTAAGAAAAAAAAAAATTGTGTCGCCTCAGAACTTTCGAGGCAATTAAAGTTTGGAATGTGAATGAGAAAAGGAAAGTGCTCTCGTTCTTAGACGTAAGTGAGGTCAATGAAATAATAGTTGAAACCAGCATGCATATAGTGAGTGCATCATATGATATAGGAACAGAGTCATTTCTGGGAACCAATGGTATCTCCATACATGTCCTTTTCTTCCAAGTTCATGCGTGTCCTTTTGAGTCCCTTAACTAAGCTTTTCCCAAGTGTCAACAAAATAACAGTACGAATACATACTTTTTCAATTTTTTATTAAAATTAATAAAAATTAATTTGGAAATTGTGTTATGCGTAGAAGACATAGTGCACACGCCGGTGGGTTCCACTTAATCTTTGATTTGTTTGGTCATGGAATCTTAAAGAGATATTCAATTATGGTTTCCAATTCTGCGTGGATCAGTTTATGAAGAACTTAATAGACTCATTTCGGTTCAAATAATTTAGTTAAAATTTGAATTGATTTAGATTTTTTTAATTTTATTTATTTAGACTTTCTTTAAATTGAGTTTGAGTTAGTGTAATCTATTAACTCATAAAACATGGGATTAAGTTGAATTGAAATTTCTTTATAAAGTTTGAATAAGAGTTGTGTTTTCTTTAACTCGGCTCAATACAAAGTTTGAAGTTTAAATTAAACTTACTAAGGTAGAATTAATAATTTATTTTACCAATTATAGAGTTTTGAAACTATTTAAAGGAGTGCTGGACTATAAAGTAGAGTATAATTAAATAGAGAGATTTTAAATTTATTTATTTTTAAATAATATAATGATATCATTAATATAATAAAAATAATTTTATATGATATTAAGTAAATGAATTGATTACTAAGATTTTAAATAATATTACTTTTAATGTGCCCTTATTCAAGATTTAATTAGTTATCCCCTGCACCCTTTAATTCCATTATTTCTCTCGTTCCTATTGCCTTACATCCACTGCGTAGCTACTTTACTAATTTCGGTTCAATTAAATGTCGTCAATAAAATAAAGGATCTTGTTAAGAACATTAATTAAAGAATAAATAAATAATTTTTATTACAAATTATGTGAAGAATGTTTTAAACATCAAGTGAGAAGTGTATTATTATATTTTTCAATGAAATATATTTACTTTTGATTCTTCAACATAAATAAATCATGTTGTGAGTTCACAGGTAAGCATTTGCCAAAAAGGAACTGCGTAATTCTTAACACATTTAATCATTACTTGGAGATTATGGAATTTACAAGGCCTCCAGTGAAGCATTTATTTTCTTGGCCAAAATAGAGACATACAAAAGTAAGATGAGTGGATAATATCTGACCAAAGTGGAAATAGAAGAAAATGGAACAAGGGTATTGGCAGAAAAGAAAGTACAGAAATAAAATTTGGAACCCACGTTAAACCATGGGAATAAGCTATGAAAAAGGCAACACTAAATGCTACCATCATGCTTGTGATGGAGATGATTTGTGCTACCAATCCAAATAGCAATTTGAAGGGCAATGACTTGAAACACTCCTCTGCATAACTTGACATGAGGATAGACAAGAAAATTAGTATGGAGGCTGAAGAAAATATTAGCGCAATTGCATCTGCCACTGCAAATATCAAGAATGCAGGTTTATTCAAATAATTAGGAGTTCCTGTATTTTTATTGTTGCCACCAGGTATCATAAATGTAGCAGTGAACACTCCAGTGGTTATGAGGGTTGAAACAAGGATACAACACTTAGCTGTGTTCTTTGTCCAAGACTCTGCCTTTGTCAATAATTCTTTATGCTCCTCAGCAAATAGTTCACCCGGAGTTTTTCCATTGGAATTTTTCTTCTCTATATCTGATAGTAGCATCATTTTCTTCACCTCCTGCCATATCAAAATATAATGAACGTAATACTAATGTATATAAAGGCTTTCACGTCATGGAATGATGCTTATGTTTCAGTTTGGATATACTTCTTCACAAGCACTTTTAAAGAGGAGAAAAAAATAGGGAAGTAAAATGAATTAAAATTATCTTATAAATAAAACTCAAGTTATGCACTTCGAGAAAAGTTAAATGGCAGTGTTTCTAAAAATTTAATGCTCATAAGTTGATTTTTAATTTAATCCTATAAGTATTTATTGAAAATTTTATCTGAATTGGATTTAAATACAAATCACCATAATCCAAATTTATACAGAATGCAATCATGTTGAGCATGTAGGTTTGAAACTGAAAGAAAGGAAAGAAAAAGATGAATACATTGTACATGACATATATGTATTGTGGAGTTGTGGGAAATATACCTCGAACCATAGCAAATCATGTGTCATTTGAAGAGCTTCTCCTGAAATTATGCTAAGCTGATTTGGAGGTGTCAATTTAGCAGCATAATGCAATATATTGTTTCCTTCATCATCCTGAAAAGTTGCTATGAAATCTGTGAAGGATCTTAGTTCATGTATTAGACTGAAGATGCTTGAATGGCGATGCAGAACAGCCATGTGAATTATGCTTCTGTTTTTACCATCCACTTCCCATATTAAATCAGGGTAAGACCTCATAAGCGCGGCTACAAAGTGAAAATTTCCAATTTCTGTAGCATCAAATATTATTTGTGATGGTTTACTTATGAATATCCTCATCTCTGTTTCAGTGTGATCTTCATTCAGAAGCATGCTCCAAAGACGCTCAACAAGTTCAAGGAAGGGAGTTGGCTTCATTTCTATCACGGATAATTTAGTTTGTCATGTGATGAGGAAGAGAAACTAATGATCAAAAAGTGAAATTGCCAGTTGAAGTGATCAATAATATGAATTTTTTTTGTTTTTGGAATTCTACATCTATAAGGTTTTTGTCCCCTGTATATAAAATCTAAACCAATATGAGTTGGGTCATTTTAGTGTCTCTGGAATACATCACACAGAAAAATAGCAAGTATGGTCAATTTCAAAGATCTTCAAAATTTAGAAATTAAGAAATAAGGAAGGAAGGTTAACGGACACGTAAAGAGTAAAGACCCTACTAATAGTACATAAAATTCCCTGGAAGTTATATCAGTAAGATTATCCACATTTAAACATTATATTATAAAAGTGGATCTAGGTAATGAGTCAGGTTGAAGCACTGATTAAAGAATCAATAAATAATTTTCATATTAATAATTACAGTCTTACAGAGGAGATGCATTACATTTATAATTTCGGGAAAAGAATTTGCACTGGCCAAGTGATTATAAAGACTTACTAGAATTGATGACCGGGTTTTGAAGATACCAATGACATCGACAACTAAAACCATGAGACTTTCGGGCCAAGACATGCAAGGCTGTCTCTTTGTGCTCATTCCGGTCAAATGCCAGCTTTGGGTGTTTTTGTAACATTTCCAAAGCTATATCTGCAAAATTTTGCAAAATTGCTAGAAATGCAATTGCTGTTAACTAAGTGACGACAGCATATATGCTCTATTTCTGCTTTTCCTCTATGAAATTTGATTCATTTTGTCTCGTTATTTTCTTCAAGTAATTGCTTATTCAACAAACTTTTTTATACCCAATGACTTATGCTAAAAATTTAATCACGAAATAAACTAAAAACAACTCATTTTAATAAGCTATATAAAAAAACTTGCTGAAATAAACTGAAAAAAAGGCTTGTGAGAGTCGTAGGTTATTTTTATAAGCTATATATAATATAAGGTCTTCTAAACAAGTTTGAAAACTAAATCATGAATCAAGAAGAAAGCCAGGAAAATTCACTCACCATATAAGCCATTGTGGATACAACGAAAGAAGAGTAAGTCCCAATCCTCTCCTTCAGAAGTGTTCATAGTGAGGGCATAGAGATGCCTTGTCATGTCACTTCTTCCCTGTAATGCAGCCATATAAAGAGGAGTCACTTCTTCTCCACCCCTGATTTTTGGTAAGCTTTCATTTTTCTGAATCATTATATCAGCAATTCGAAGGTTTCCAGAGGCAGCAACAAAGCAAAATGCTGTGTTTCCATTGGAATCTTGCAGTTCAAGGTCTTTTGGGTCCAATAATTCCACCAACTCTTCCACAAAGGCGACATGGTTTGTTCCAGCCACGACATGAAGTAGTGTCTTCATTTCCTTAGTTATAGCAGCGTTTAGCAACCTTTTGTCTGCATCAATCATGCGCTTCGCTTCTTTCCAGTCACCCCTCAGTGCTAGCTTGTAAATGGGTACACATTTCTCTAAGTACTCCCCTGCAGAAAATGAAGTCCAAAATTTCATTTAGCTGAACTTTGCCACTATATTTACTATTTACTATTTACATATAAAATAGTTCGTGTTTGTCTTGTATTATGATAGTGTTGGCTTTGCAAAATAGCACAAGTTTGTTCAGGGAAATTGTTAGATAGACATCTCTTGATGATATATATTTAGAGAGATAAAAAGAGATGAAATAAATGATAAATAATAAGATATAAAAATAGAGAGATATCAAATATTAAAGTATTTACATTGTTGAGTTGTTTATAAATCAGAAGTTTTTATTAAAGCAACGAAGATCAACCATTTGGATACTCTAACGTTGCAAATTGCAACTATATAATGTCTGAGAACCGTATTTTTGGTCATTGAAAAGTTGATTTTGGTGAGTTTTGGCGGCATTTGTGTCTAGTGGGCTGAATAATTATTTTGAAAGAAATGTTACATATCTTTAATATAGTAAACAACAACACTCTTTTCTTGAAGAAAGAAACACTTTTTGCACTCCATTTCACCCAGTAACTCTTTTTATTTTGGTCAACCTGAATCACTTATATATTACTTTTTTGAGGTACATTCAGTGAAACACTTTTTTTAAATGTCTATGTTAGTGTGCTGTAGGATGTAGCATACTTAAAAAAGATGTGCATGAGAAGAATTATAGGAGTATTAGAGTTCTTTTGGGGCTTGAGATCTTTTGAATGATGATATTTTTCACATTCAATAGAGGGATATGTGATCCAGGTAGGAGCAAGGAAGAGAAAAAAATATTATAAATGAAATATAAAAACAATCTGAGAAAATATGATGAGGTACAGTACAGGTTGATCTTTATCGTGTCATGGTGTGGGGCAAATTTATGCTTCGGATTGGTTTGGTTCTGCCGTCCTGCCCAACTTTAGAAGCTTCGTTGACGTGAAACTTAAACGTCACCAATTTAGCATTGCTATAGTCATATAGATGACGTAATAAATTTATTTTTATAGCATCAGTTCCACGTCAACGACGTAATTTTCTTTTTTTTAAAAACGTATGAATAAACAACAAAACGTATAATTAAATAAAATAAATATTATCGTGACAAGTGTTGCATTAATAAATCAACGGTGTACGCATTGATTGATGTAATTGGAGAACAACTAAACTTTATTATTTTGCTTAAAAATATAGTAGACGCAATTAGGGTAGAATAATAAACTCATCCGTACTCAAAATTAAAATAAACAAATTGGATTGGATATATGAGTTGAATCTAATCGAGGCAAATAGAACTTAATAGGTTTGGACTAGGACTACATTAATAAATTTTGAACCCACAAGCTTTTTTATTTTATTTTTTGTAATGAATATATTTGGAAAAAGTTAATTTATTTATGACCTATGTATATAATATTTAACCTAAGCTAACTTGAATTATATACATTTGATCAAATTGGCTATATTTGAATTGAATAAAAAAATTATAATTAATTTGAGTAATATTTTCTCACTAATTCAACCCAACCCATTTCTACATGTATATGCATTTAGTCATTCACTTTTAATAGATTACCAAATAAGAATAATTATAATAATATCCCTTAAAATAAACATTGATGCATGAAAATAAGAGTAATACAGGCTACCTGAACCTGCTAGGGCTGGCTAGCTTGCAACAAGCCCACATAGGTAGTAAGATTCATCGAGTTAGGCTAATAAAATTCTAATTTATTTGAGCTTTCATAGTTAATGTTTTTATTTTTTGTTAAAGGATAATATAATAAAATTACTCAGCGATACCAACAAAGAAAGTTGACAACAGCAAGCATTACAACAACGTAAAACGGGTAAAACAAACGAAGTCAAAACACGCACGCTCAAAATCAATCAGGGTATAGTAATCCTATCTAATAAAATCAAATCTTAAAATGACCCTTCTCGTACACAAAAGAAAAACCGTTATAAATAGAAAAGGACTTTTGTTTACTTTTTCTTTTTCTCTCCTTCTTAGTTAGTGTATAGTCCAAAAACAATTTAGGGCACAAGACCCTGAACAATAGCCTAAATATGCAATTTGAATAATCATCGACATGTGTAAGGTGTCACTGCAACTGGTTGAATTGTAGAGCGCAGTAAGGCAGAGAGTTGCAACAAAACCAGTGACAAATTTATTAATGGTGTTGTGTAGCAAAGCTCCTATGACATGAGTTGATTGCAAGGAGGGGTTGGAACAAGTTCTGTCGTATGGAAAAAATGTGAAGGAAGAAATAGTGATGAGATAATGAGATAGAGAAGACGGTACTGAAGTAATGACGATGAGTTAGCTAAAGGAGAGAGTAATGATTGTGTGTGCATAGTGAAGAAATAAAAAGAAGAAAATGATGTCTCACACACAGTGAAGTAACGAATATCCACCGGATATCAGCAGAGCACCTTCACCAAAGGAAATAAAGAAATCCACAAAGGCAAAGGGACCCCACAAAGAGAAAGAGGAGTTCCTCGAGAGCAACAATTATTTTGTTCTTATAGGGTTTTAACAATAATCATAATTTTTTTAATATATTTTATCTAACTTATTGGACTGACCCATTTTGTCAATCTTATTTGATATACACAGTTTAATTAAGTGAAAAAATTAGATACAAAATTTCTATGATTTGAAATATGCAATGTTTACACTTAAAATTACTCGACAAAAGCAAAAATATACTTTTTATTTTTTATAGACTTAACATATTTTGAAAAAAAAAAATATGTTTAAAATAAATTATACTTTTACTTTATATATTTTAATTACTCATATTTAGTTTTCACAGTTTTTTATTTTATAATTAACAAAAATACAGCAGTGACGTTTAAGTTATATATTATATTATATTATATTTTTTATTGATATGAATCAATGATATGTCAGACATCTATAATATGTCTATTAATTATTACACGGAATTTAAAAATATAGATTGAACTTGAGTAATTCAATAACTATGAAATTGTAATTAATTAAAATTAAGAAGATTAAAATTATATATCTAAAATATGAAGACGACAGTTATAATTAAGTATTGGAATTAATTTATGATTTTAGTTTTCTGATAATTTTCCAGTTAATTGGTCTCTTAGTTTTTTAAGTTTTTACAATTAAATATTTTCATCACTTCTACTTTATAAAAAGTTGTTTAAATGTCTATTTTACGCTCAAGTAAACAGAGGTTTAAAATAAATTTAAAATAGAAAATCATTTAAGGAGATTCTAAAAGTAAAAAGTAGGATTACATTTGAAAAAAAAAAAGAGTAAGGTGGTGTTAGATTAGGAATCTGAAGAGAAAATTTTTGGATTATTTAATTTAATATATACAAAATGATATTTTGATTAATATATTTTGAGTTGAAGAGTTTTGAAATGATTTAGTGAGTGTACTTAAAAATTTTAAGAAAAAGAATGAGAGTCTTCAAAATTTATGTAGAGAAAATTTGATCCAATAGATAATTATAGCAATTTTAAAAATTAAATGAGTTGATTACAATAATAAAAAAATTAAATAACTAAAATTTATCAGATAAATAAAGTTACACATTAATTATAAGAGAAAATAAAAAGTATAATAAATGATATATTAACAAGTGAGATTTAAAAATAGAACAGAATTAATATTTTTAACCAATATTATCTATTTTTAAAATAAAAATAATAAATTAAGATACATTTAATAATTTATTTATTTTATAATAATGTCTTTTTAAAAAAAATTAAAGATATCCTCATCAATTTTTTCCTACCAAAACTTGGCTTTGAATCATATCCTAATTAGTCTGATGATAATATTATAACCCAAAGTCTCTTATATTAATATTAAATACGCAAATCATTAGTCGGTTGAAAATTCCTATTGAAATGAAAATTTTCTTTTAATAATAAAGGACGGAGAGAGAGAGAGTACTTCTGTCTTGTATTAGGTGAAGGGAAGGACGTGGAGATTGAGAAGCATTCTGAACCACATGTGCTTGTGCTGCCACTGCTGTCATTTCTACATTAGGGATTCCGATTTGAATCGAAGCCATCTGAAACTCCTGTGTTTGTGTTGTTGATGTTTCTGTAAAGCAAAAACATAATCTTTTCACTTGTTGATAAAATATATTTTAAGGAAAAATTACTTATATTATTAACCTCTTGTTTACTATATATATATTTTTAACGTTTCTCATTGATTTTTTAGACCTCTCCACATCCTTTGTCTTCCGATGATTAGTGGTCCCCAAAGATGTATTCCTTCTCTACGTTCAACAATATCGCACAAAGTAATTAGTATTTTCACTCTCCTATTAAATCATAAATTAAAGAACAACTTTATTGTTCCTTTTATTTTTAGTTTTTATAAGATACGTGTGTATATGTACGGTGAAATTTTTTTAAACAAATACGTATAATATCACATACAATATTATTATTTAATTTTATTCTAATAACATTATATTTTATAAATGAAAAACACATGCAATCAAATAACAATGATTCAAAAGATATATGATTAGAAGAAAAGCCTTGGAATTATATTTGTACGTCGGCGATAAATTGGAGTGTGGTGGGGTGGGGCATCCTTTTCAGGAAACAGGTCAGGGTGATGAGGGCGGCTATCATTGTATAAATTTTGCCATAGAGTGAGTCTACGTGTGTGAAGCTAATTAGCCATCGTACCCTTTCAAAGCTTTCATGAAACATAAGAATAATATATAGCTATCCTATTCCACCTTTAAACTTTTTGCCAATTGACTTGTACGAACTTCCAAGTCTTTGCCATACACACCTCAAAATTCTATCCTCATTCAGCTATTCCATACCTGCAGGGATTTCAAGTAGCACAGGATCTTTCTCTACGTTTGCGCCTGTTCACCAAAACTGGTTAACTAAAAGTCAGAGCCTGTTGGCTTCAATTCTGGATCTGATTAAAATAGTAGAATAAAATGAATATTGATATAATTTAAGTGTATTTTTATATTATTTTTTTTAATTAAAGTGAGATTTTTATTTTAGTAAAAGCAAAATATTTATATTCTTATAAATTATCATAACACTAAATATTTTTAGAATTGCGCCTAGTTAAATTTTGTCATATATATTATAACCTAATATGACTTAAGAAATTAAGATTGGCAGAAATGGAGGAATCAGCGATTCATGTGACAGTTATGTCTGAAGAGTATGTATGGAATAAAAGAGATGGATAATAGAAGAAGCAGAAAGTAAGAGAAAAGAACGCATGGGAAGAAAGATTTTGAAATTCTGTATGTGCAACGAGAGTACATGTTAGTATATGTCCTGTTGCACTGTCTCTAGAGAAAAAGAAAAGGGAGGGTAAGTGGAAAGCACGAGGCTAGGGATTCCAAATAAAAGAAGAATAAAATATATAGTCACAAAATAGTTGGTTATTGTGTGGAAGATTCAAGGAATATTAAAAGAGAAAGGACGACATACCCGCAATTAATGCAGTTGGAAGACTCGTTTTGTGTATATAGAGGTGGTGGGAGGGAGAAGAACTAGGTGAGAGATCCACCACCCCAAAAAAATATATTCGAAGGAATGATTTAACTTAAAACTCTATATGTTTAGAACATATATTTTCAAATGGTTGTTGTTGATGAGTTGTTTCAAAGAGCATTAAAAGGAAAGAAAAGAGATTGGATATTAATTAGGTGGGTGAACTATGAACACATACAGCAGGGAAGAAAAATAACATAGCAAGCAAGACCATATGGGATCAATAAGAAAGACCGAAAGAGAGAGAAGATTCATGTGATTTTACCTGAAGAAGTCTTGGAACAGAGATGAACCAGTTTATATATCTTTATAACTCTCTGGGGTGCAGTGATAGTGATGAGGTTGGTTCCACATAGCCGGCGAAAACCCAATATGCATTTGGTTGGAAGGGGAATATATATCTGCGGAGAAAGCTCTTGCAATTCAGGTCTTGTGTGGCTGTCAACATACGTGGATTTCAACATACTATGAATCAAATACATATTCCTGCTTTTAGTCAATTGCAAAAGATTAATTAAATTTATAAGTTTGTAACATTATAGTTTTGAAAAAATAATGTTACATGCACACCCTAATTTTAAGTGAAGGATGAGAGAAATAGGAAGAAAAAATTGTTAAACCATTTAATAATAGAAATTATCCTTTTTTTTTGTTAATTTGTTAAAGAATGAAATTAGATGCGTAAATTTATTAATTAAATTATCAGAATCTTCCATTATTTCTTAAGAAACTGACGTGTAGATAATAGAAAATAGTTTTTTAATGAGTAATATATATATATATATATATATATATAATTGATTAGTATATATGTATTTTAAATAATAATCTACAATAAGATTTAATATTAATAATATGAAAAAATTATAATAGAAAATAATAAATAATATAATATAATATAATCCTGAACAAATATTGAAGGTTATTATAGATCGAAACATAATTGTGATGGTCCTATGGCCGCAACTCCACGGTATAGGCGCGTTGTGTGGGCCTTGCCCTTCAACAATGGTAGACAGTCCATTGACTAAATAATAACAGACAAAGAAAAAGGTGAAAAGGATTAGTCTTCCCTTGGAGCCAATGTGTGTTTTCGTAGTACTCTTTAGTGCTTTTATTATATTTGAAACTTAGTCTCCCCAAACTTAGTATTTAATTTGTATATACCTGATTCCCTAAACGGTACGTTTTGATTTCCCTCCACAGCAAGACAACTATGTTATTTTCTAAATTTTATTCAATGTGTTTTCAATGAATTAGGTTTAAATATTTAGATTTCAAGTAAATAAGCGCATGCGAGTAGTACATTTTACTTAGTATGCATAATTAAGGTTTTCAAACAAAATCTAAATGTTTCATTATTATCCTAGCAATCAATGCCTTAGTAATATAGAAGAGAAAATGTAATTTTAAACTCTTTAAATAGGTTAATTGAGAAATGCAGATATTAAATGGTCTTTAAAAAAAACTATAAAATTAAACCAATAAAGGAAACTAAGTCATACTTGACCTAATTTTTATTATATGAACAATTATCTCGTGCAATGTATGAATATTTTAAATTTAAATATGATTTAAAAATATAAGTAATTACATTTTTAAAATTATATGACATAATTTTATAATTACTTTAAAGGAATAAGTTGAAATTATAAGTGACTTAGATTATAAAGGAAAAGAATAAACGTAGAAAAGAAAATAAGTAAGTGATCAAGATTTTAGAAGAAAGTTAAAATTTTGATATAAATATTAAAAATAAATTAAACTAATATTTGGTCAAAAATCTTAAAACATTTTTTAAACAATTAATAATTTAAAAATTTTAAATATATATATATATATATATATATATATATATAAAATAATAATAAAATCATGTCCATTAAAAATAATACTACAAGAAATATTTTATATTAAAGCATATAATTTTTTTTATAAATATATTTAATTGCCAATAGAAAAGAATGTTTTTAATTGTTAACATAATAAGGCTCCTGTTATTCTCTTTAATCTACGAGCACTAACTTTTGAGAAGGATTTACTTACTTTAGCAGTGAATCTTAATAATTAACTTATTTTACTTATTAAATTTTAATAAATATTAGAGCTTATTGATTTAATTGTTTATTTAAACATTTTTAATAAAAAAATTAGTATAAAATTTATTTAATATTTTATTAAATAATTTTATTTTAATGTATAATATATTTTTAAAATGTAAATAAATGTTAAATATAAAATTACATACCTATAGATATTTAATTTTTGTAGATTTTAACAGACCATAACAATATTATTATATTATTCTGTAGTTAAATTAATAAAATTTAATATTTACAAAATGTTACTTTTATTTTAATTTAAAATTATTTGAATATTATATGAAAATTTTGCTTGTTTATTTTATTTATGATGTGTTTAAAAATAATAGATAAATTAACTAAAAGCTTAAAAGTTATTTAAATATTTGATTGAATTTAAAATATTTGTTAAATATATATGTTGAACTAGTTGACAAGTACAAAATAATATAAAAAGGAGATATTTGATCACTTGACCTTTTATATATAATTGAAATTATATATATATATATATATATATATATATAGTTTTAAATAACTATTTATTTTTAATGATTTATTATCTTTAGAATTAGGAAAATAATTTTTAAAATTTGTATTAAATAAAAATGAAATAATAGATTTATATTATATATATATATATAGTTTAATTTTATATATTTTATAAAGAGAAGAATGTTTATTTATAAGTTTGTTAGATGCAAAAGGATACGAAAGGAATTATAATAAGATATTGATGAATAATGCTTGAATTAACGTAGTCGTCTAAGGCCAATAAGTACGTTAAAATATTAGATAAAAGGTAAAAAGAATAATTATAAGTCATAACAAAAATTTATTTCTGTAATCTTTAATAAAAAATATTAATTTTATTGAGATCAGTAAAAGAAATGTATATATATAAAAAAACAGATTTGGGTTTATAAATAAAGCGTAGGAAGCAGCCGCAATTTTGGTCACACTTAACTAGGATTATGTTGGTTGCTTGTTTCCATAAATTGCGTCTATGTATACAGAATATTAATTAGTTTACTAAATGGCTGCTGCTTCCTTCAGTACAGGCATTGTGTTGGTTTTCTGGACATCATAAGTCACAGTATCTGTTACATGGACAAAGTTAAAAAGTTTAAAATAATGAAAAAAAAATCTTGTTAGCAAGTGTCTTTATTTAAGAAATTCACAAATAAAAAAATATTAAAAATTACGGATAATTTGTATGGAAAATTACCATTAAATTACGCTAATGATACTTTTTGTTTCTGGGTCACGCAAAAATTGGCTGTATCATTTGTATTTATTGTGTCCCTTTCTTGACAGTTGAGTGATAAACTAGATGAACATGAAATATAGAGAGTAAGGTGCAGATTGTATCACCTGCAAAAACCACATTCCTCTACCCCTTTTCCAGTTCCTACTCCCTCTCCTGAAAATAAATATGTATTTCAGAGTCGTTAAAGAAAGAAGAAAAGTGTGCATCATCATTGGAATCTAATAGAGAAAAAGCCTTTGTGCTAAATTGAAACCACTTGACATGGACGCACTCAGTTATTCCAATTCCAGTATGTACCCCTTGGCTAATTATATGGGACAAGCGAAGCAACCACGAAGTTGCTCAGCAAAGGCAGAGCCTTAGTGCTTCTTTCACTTGGAAAGGTAGAATGATCTGTTCCACACCCGAAGATCCATAGAAATTTAAAAATTATCATTCAACTGTCCCCACGAGAATATTACAATATCGTAAATCTTTTCTTATGGTATTTGATCATGGATTAAAATAAGTTAAATTTAATTAACATTTGTTTATTATATTTTAAAGTCAATTGTTAATTAGTATCTTATCAGCTTTGGTTAAAGACAATTCCACTGACAATATGGAATTTTCTAATATGCGACACAATTCCAAACTATTGCATCAATTGGTTGGGGACTTGGAAAGATTTCGCATATTTATTTGTTGGCTAGAACCATGCAACGTGATTCGTCAGCCTAAAAATTACTCCCCTCTTGCACCTCTATATTCCTTACACTTCTTTCTCTTTGCCTTCGTGTATGTACAATTTAACTGTCTTAAAACTTTGTTCGAATGTTTTGAGTGAGAGGGAAAAAGAAATGTTGAAAAGGTAAGGAAAGATAGGAGTTCTTTTTCTCTTTCTGTCACGGGGAAAGATACTGGTTATGGTGGAGTTCAAATGGTAGAACCCATGAATACTAAAGATGTCAATTATTGGCCCCATTTTGTTCTTTTGTGCTAACGAGTATTTCTATATATATTTTTTGATCGACAGCTAATGAGTATTTCGGTTTGTGATTAGATCAGCATGTCATGGACAGTTTTGAAGGATTTAGACCTATTATTGGATCAGTCTTATGTTTTTGAGCCTGATCAAAATTTAGTTAATTTCAATATTTTTGTATGTAAATAGTATTGGGCCTTTTGTGGCCCATTATGATATACCTTCAACAAATTTTTGATGCAGTTAGACCATTTAACGTAAATTTAAAATATTTAGAGTTATCAAAGTTTCCAGTGTTACCAGAGTTATTGACACCAAAACATGTACAGAGGCTATAAATAAAGCTCATATTTAGATATATAGTTAGCAACTTCTCTCTCCACCATTCTCTCTCTCCCTGGCAACATTGGGTTGAAGAACGCGCACTTATGAGGAATTAATTGCCATCTTCATCATTCATGTTATATCTAGATATGGTGATAAATATATTTAGGTATGATGTTGAGTTCTTATAATTCTGTTTAAAGCTTTCTGTGCTGGAATTCTTTATATACAATGTATTCTTATTATTTGTTTGTTTTTTTGAGACCAGTAAAAGAAATACATGACACCCAATTATGTAAAATTGCAATTCTTATTATATTGTGTCAATATTTTTAAATTTGCATAAAATGGTCAAGTCCATCACATGTATGCATATGTAATAAAAGAACAGAAATAAAAATAGCAATAAAACCACTACTATGCACGTCTTTTTTAAATAAACTTAATAGCAAGAACAATGAACATACATACTATTTAAAAGAAGTTTGGGCAACTATCGGCATAGCTACATCCACATGGTTTCTATAATTTTCTGCTCGTGAGAGATGCACATATTTCTAACACATTTCTGACAGAGTCAGAATAACTATCTTCACTTATTTGGATAAAAAAATAGTCTTGTATTCACATATAAAATTAAGATCCATTTCAAGTTGTTATAGATTATTAATATGTAAGTTTATATTTTGACATATTTTTTTAAACTTATTTTTATGTAATTATCCTTATTTAAATAAGGATAGCATTGATTATTTTATTAATTATTACACTTCAGCATGTTAAAAATTCTTAGAAATTATTAAGGTATTTTAGACAAATTGATAAAAAATAGGTCAAGTAAACCCGTTCTTTAGTAGTTAACATGCTTATGTTTCGGAGCATATATTCATGCAAATTGGTATGCACGGTTGTCGTACTTCTTGTCTAGATGTTTAAATTTGAAAAAATATTAAAATTTTAAAACCCTATTTATTAAAGAACTTTGAAGGTTGCTACTTAGTCATCTTTTTACAAGCCAATCTTTGATGACTTTAGGAGCTTGGGAGCACAGCTTGAGATTAAGAACTATTTTTATCTATTTTTTTATTAATTTTTTTTAATTTGTATTTACTTTTTAAATAATTATAATTTATTTTGTTATTGTTCTTATTTTTTATTTCATTATGCCTAACTAAATCTATAGTTAAAACTATAGTAAATTTTTTGTATAACTCTATATAATTGTTGTTATTGATAATAATTATAGTTTCTTTTCTTTATTGATGTTTATCTTATTATACTATAATTTGTATGTTTGAAATTGACAATTAATATAACATAATTAATTATACTGTATGCGACTGTATCATATATAATTAATATATTTATAAAGTAAAATGAGATAAAAAAATTAGATGAATCAAATTTAATTCTTATCTTTCAAAGTTCCTAAAGATTTTATATTTTCTTTTTTTTTTTTATTTTGCATAACTATTCACAATAGGTTAAGAAAAAAAATTTGTTAATATGATATGACCATTAAATCTTAATAGAGTTATCATGAGTTATTGACAATTGAAAGTATAAAGACATAAAAGAACTGTAAATAATCATAGTTATTTAGATAAATATATTGACGGAATACACTAAGAGCCAAGAAAAAGAACAGGTCTTATTTAGAATATGCTTGAAGACTATAAGTTTAGCATGGGCGTGCACATACATCACGTACAGCTATTATAGTCACTGACCCATAAACACAAAATTAAACGATAGAAATTAAGCATACAGTTGGGCAAGGGTTTTGGATTTGATAATCAATCCTCAGATTTGGTGAGGAGTTGCTGTGCCTTTATCTCAACGTAGTAAGGTTCTTCAAGGACCTTGGAGTCATTAGCATCCCAAACAAATATGCCAGGGAGTGAATCACTTCGAAGGAGAATTTCGCAACCCTCAAAGAAGACCTTCTGTGATATTTTACCGGCATCTTCAGGATCAGTGCTATACCCTGCCAAGAGTTTTTTAACACTGAAGAAATCAGAAAGGCTTCTATAGAGATTTACAAAAGCATGAGTTGTGGACACAGTCTGATCATAAAACTGGTAGTCAACCCAGTCAATATGTTCTTTGTTGTCTTTGTACAAATTCTTGTAGTTGGTTAGAACAGGATTAGCTGGATCAGTTGAATCAGATGGAGCAATGGACACCATCATTCCTTTCCTCTTCAGGTATTCTATAATTTCTCCGATGCACTCAACAAAGCCATCAGACTCAATATGCTCATAGTTGATATCAACGCCATCAATTACGGTTTTTGTAACGCAACCGCAATCGTCCTTGTAGTCGACTTCAAGGATTTCCTTGAGTGACTTCTTGGCATTGTGAATCCATTGTAGTTTGTCTTCAGGATTGAATGGATATTTGGTGCCACGGCCTCCAATGCTTATTACCACCTTCACATTCCTATATTGTGCTTTCATTTCTTTGATTTTGACAGCACTGAAGTCACTGACATTCCAAGATGGTCTGAAATTCCCTTTGCCTCTTCCCGTAGTAGGGTCGTAGTCGTCTGTGGCAAAGGCCAAAATGAAGTGAAATTCTGAAATTTTTGGATTGATGATCTCAACTGGGAATTTTCTCAATTTCGGGGAAGGCTTGGCGCCAATATATTCTCGAAAAATCTCACCCTGCACAAAGGCTGCTGGTTCGACAGACATTGTGGGTGCTTAGTTGTAGAAACTGAAAGAGATATATGGAACTGGTTTTCTTAGTTTTGTGGGTTAATTGGGATGAGGCTGGTGGGAATGGCCAACTCTTGGCGCCCTTTTATAGAGCAAGCTGGTGAATGATGAGGTTCAAGCAGCTTCTTCACTTTGTTTCTTTCTATATTCTATTTAGTATTTGTAGCATCTACATGTATGTGACGCAAAGCATCACATAATCTGCTTGCGTGGCCTTGTTTTTGTCACACAATAAAAAAACAGTTTACCATAAAACGTAGCCCCGAGACACGTGATGAAGGCCATTATAATATTGTAATTGTAATTTTCTTTGATGCTTCGCTGCACTGTTTGCATTAATTGTATATTCATTCTGCATCTACCTGCAACGCAATGACAAATATTATACGAGATTGACCGAATATCTACACTTTGTGAACAAAGTTATAAAATTATCGTTGCCTTGCAAGATGTTAGTTAAGTTCATGCAATGGTTGTTACGTAATTTAAAATCATTACATCGCTGTTTTTCATTAATAGATTGTAAAGTACCCGTTCTGCATGTCGGTTTGCACATGCTATACCTACGTATGATGATAAATAAATCAAGTTAAGATGTTCATTTCTTAAAAATCAGTTTAGCTTTTGTTATATACAATGTATTGTTTTTATTGTTGTTACAGAGACCAGTAAACATTAAAAATAGCATTAAAACCAATACTATGCACCTCTCCTGTAAATAAACTTAATTAATTTTATGCATTTTATTTAAAAGAAATTTGGATGTGAAGCTATGGGCTTTGCTACCCACCTGGATTTTCAAATTTTTTTTTTCACACGAGGGAGATACTTTGACACCTTCTCATATTACTCCTTCTAAGAAATAACAATCCATCAACATAGTAAATTTATAAAGAAAGAAAATTCTTCTTAACTTAACATTCTTTTCAATCGCATGATATACTAAATATAATATAAAATGAGGTGAAGCATATTTTTATTCTCTATAAATATTCTTAAAATTTATTTTTGTCTTCTAAATCTTTTATACAAGTTTTAGATAGAGAAAATTACAGTTAAAGTTTTTGAAGAATAAAATCTATAAATAAAATGTTTTATTAATTGGTAATAGATCATGACGGAACTTTTATCATGCATTTCAATTCAATTTTTTAATTCACTTATATATATATATATATATATATATATATATTTGTTCGTGAATTTTCAGAAATGAGTTCGGATCATTTTGTGATGAGCTCTTTAGTATTGTGATGCAAGGCATGACATAACTTGCTTACAACACGTAGGATTGTTTTTGTCATGCATTGGAAACTAAATTTAATTAAGAAATTGCATTCATTTAATAAACGGGTAGTGAAGTTATATATATTCTGTCAAGAAATTTAGTTACTTTTGCAAATCAATCCTGTGGCTCAGATCTGCAGCAAGCGCTAGCTGCTTAGATTCCTAACAATACTTTTTCCCTTTTAATTTCGGCATGTGTTACATTTTTAATGAATCTTTACACCGATAGTAAATACGCATGCAACCTAGTTTTTTTTTTCATATTTTTTTCTAAGGTTTTATGAATTTTCCAACTAATTTTCACAGTTAGATGATTTAAAGACTTTGTTTAATTTAACTAAAATAAAATTAAAGATACAAATATAAATAAAGAAAAGAAAAAGTTATCATATTCTAATGATTTTCAACTCATCAACAGATAATAAAATGATATAGCAAGATAAGTTATTATGTCAACACACCCAAACTAGAATAAAATAAGATAAGTTATCATAATTTTTGGTGATAAATTGAAGCAGAACAATTTACCGTGAAAATAAAAATTTTAGTCGACGTGCTTGAAAATAGCAGCATCCTTGTCACCTTATTTTTATTGAAGTTGTACGTTAATGATCATGTTTTAGGTTCGAAATTTAACTCACTCTTCATTTAATGCTTCCCTTGAGTTTTATCCTTGAGTGACATTTTTGACGAAAGGGGTGTGAACATGCATGGTGGAAATTCGCAAGGTATCACTCAAAACGCGACAATACAAGACAACCAAGAAATCATACTTAGACAAGTAAGCCACACTGGTTGGGTCTTATTAAGAATAAGTAGCAGACTAATCAATCTGTAAGCAAGCATAGCACGGCGTGTTATAGCCTGTGACCCGTACGTAAAATGAAAGAAATTAAACATAGAGATGGGATAAGAGTTTTTAATTTACTCCTTATCACACTTAGTGAGGAGCTCTTGAGCCAACTTTTCAAAGTAGAAAGGAGGGTTATTAGAAATTGATACAAATTTCTAGAATAGTCTAAAAAAATATTAGGAACAATCTAGGAAAAACTATTTGGATCTTCTAGTTTCAAGACATCAATTCTCCATCTCTTGTGTCTCTTCTAAAACTTCTTCAACTATCATTTTTAACTATTCCTACAAACATTTCAACTATCTTACTTATCTTACCTACACTAAAAATTATCAGTGACATCAAAGCTACGTTCGGTCATCTCCTGGGCGTAGAAATATTACCATACTAATCTAAAATTAAAATAAACCACTTAAAAAATTTTCTATCCCATGACTAGCACTACTCAACCATCATCTCTTTCCGTTCCCATTTTCAATAGTGAAAATTATGATTTTTGGAGTACAAAAATGAAGACATTTCACTTTTCAAGATTTGTGGGATATTATGGAAGAAGAACTCACTACTCCCACAGACATATTATCCCTTACTACAACTCAAAGAAAAGAACTAAAGGAGAATAAACAAAAGGACTTAAAGGCCTTTTTTACTCTATAACAAGCTGTGACTAACGCAATTTTTTCAAGAATAATAGGTGTTACAACAGTCAAAGAAGCATGGAGTATACTGTAGGAGGAGTTTGAATGAATGAAATGGTACGCACTGTAAAACTTCAAACTCTACGATGAGAGTTTGAATTATTAAAAATGAAAGAGTTTAAGATCGTTAAGGATTACAATTCCAAAATAAAAGAAATGATTAACCAAATGTGAGCTTACGGGAAAAATATTCTTAAAAAAAAAGTTGTTGAAAAATTACTAATCACAACTCCCTGTAAATAAGATCCAATTGTCACCACTATTGAGTAAACAAAGGATCTATCTACTTTATCAGTGACAAGTTGGTAGGGTCCCTTGAAGCCTATAAGTAAAGGTTGAACAGGCATGATGATGATTCAATAAAAAATGCCTTTCAATCAAAGCTCAAATTACGGTCTCAAAATAAAGGGAATAAAGGAAGAAAGAATAATGGAGAAACTTTTAGAAACAAAGAGAATTCTGAAAATTTCTCTAGAAACAATCAAGATAAATATCCTCCATGCGGCATCTATAAAAAGACAAATCATGTTGAAGGAGAATGTCGGTATCGTAGAAAACCACAATGTCGATATGCAAGAAATTTGGACATGTGGAAAAGTATTGTCGCAACAAAAACAAGTATCAAGCAAATCTCGCTGAAGAGTATGATCAAGAACCACATCTTTTCTATGCTACCCAAGATTCTAGCACTGAAACGAGTGGAAATTGGTACTTGGATAGCGCTGCAGCAATTACATGGCTAAAGACATAAACATCTTCAAGGATATTGACGAATCCATCAAAGTGAAAGTTTGAATGGAAACGGTATTATCGCTGAGTCAAAAGGCAAAGGCATTGTTATGGTGGAGACAAAGAAACTTAATATTGATGTCTTACTAGTCCCCAACCTCAAGGAAAATCTCTTCAGTATTGGCAAAATGATGGAGAAAGGTTATTCTCTTCACTTCAAAGGAGACACATGTAAGATATATGACAGTAAAAAGCAAGAGATTGGCCATGTAAAGATGGAGAAAAGAAATCAAAGTTTTTTAATATGCTTTCAACAAGGCACTAACATTGCCATGAAAGCAGAAGTTAATACTTCACGACTTTGACATCGAAGATTTGGCTACTTCAATATTCATACCTTAAAAGTGCTACATCAAAAGAATATGATGAAGGATCTTCCATGTCTTGAAGAAAATAATGAAGCTTGTGAAGGATGTCGCCTTGGCAAGCAACATCGACTGTCATTTTCTACTGGGAAAGCTTGAAAAGCAAAAAACTTATTGGAGCTTGTTTATACAGATATTTGCAAACCAATGCGGACATCATCACTTCATAATAACATGTATTTTATCCTTTTCATCGATAATTTTTCTAGAATGACTTAGGTCTACTTCATAGCATGGCGTGTTATAGCCTGTGACCTGTACGTAAAATGAAAGAAATTAAACATAGAGATGGGATAACAGTTTTTAATTTACTCGTTATCACACTTAGTGAGGAGCTCTTGAGCCAACTTTTCAAAGTAGAAAGGAGGGTGATCATCTGCGGAGTAATTAGCATTTCAAACAAAAATGCCAGGGAGGAATTGGCATTTGATGAGGTCTTCGCAGGCCTTAAGAAAGTCCTCTGGTGATATTTGATTATCCTTGTCATTTGGATCAGTGCTGTATCCTGCTAAGAGTTTATCTTTGAAGACATCGGATAGGTCATGGTACAACTTTTCAAACTCACACTTTGAGGACAAACACTGATCATAGAACTGGTAATCGACCCAGTTAATGTAGCCTTTTTGTTCCTTGTACAATGTCTTGTATTGCAATAGCACGGGAGCTGATGGAGCAATGGACACCACATTGATTAGTACATCCTTCTTCAGGTATTCTATAACTTCACCAATGCACTCAACAAAGTCATCATCAGACTCAAAATGCTCATATTTTATATCGACGCCATCAATTACGGTTTTGTAACGCAACCGCAATCGTCCTTGTAGTCGATTTCAAGGATTTTTGAGTGACTTCTTGGCATTGTCAATCCATTGTAGTTTTCCTTGAGGATTGATGGATATTTGGTGCCACGACCTCCAATGCCTATTACCACCTTTGCATTCTTATGCTCTTTCTTCAGCTCCTTGATTTTTTCAGTACTAAACTCTTGCACGTTCGCCTGAACTTTCCAGTGCCTCTTCCTTCGCACCCATACTCCTCTGTGGCAAAGGCAAGAATGAAGTGGAATTTTGTGATGAGTCACTAACTCATCTAGAAAATTAAAGGTTTTTGGCATATTTCATTGAATTTAAACTATAAGTTAATGCAACTAATTAAAAAATTCAATGGAATGTTGTATTGCTGGAAATTGAGAAATCATGCATATTTTGATTGCTGGCATTTGAATTTTGAAGGAATTAAAAGAAGAAAATCGGTAAATGGACTAAAGAGCAGAAGTTAAGTGCTACAGGACTCAATTATGGAGACACAAATTTTTTATTGTAAGGACATTATGCTGACTGAGCATATAAAAGCGAAAAAATTCTGAAAAAAAAATATCTTTTATTTTTTTTGTCTTTTACAATTCCAGAGTGTAGAAATTTAGGTTTTAGATACAACTTACGTAGAATATAGTAGTTAGGGTATTTTCTTTAGATCTTTGCTAGATGATTCTTATGAGAACTTGAATTTCATCTCATTTTCTCTAGTTTATGTAATGGAAATAACTTTCTCATTTCATCTATTTGTTGAAAGCGTTTCTGTAAACATGAATTCTGTTTTTGCAATAAATTTTAGTATTTTCTTTCATTATGTTTAGCTAAATATCTTTGGGTTGAGTGAGGATGAATCTATGCCTTTGCTTTTTGCAATGAACTAACACTGGATATAGCTCAAGATACATATTTTAACCAACATATTGATTCTGAACTTAATGCTTTTCTGTTCTACGTGACATGGATTGATGAAAAGGAGTTTATTGCTGGAAAATAGTAAACTTCTTGGAAAGGGATTAATTTGCTCATTATGAATTGTCTAGGAATAGAAATTTTTGATGATGTGGTCAATGGATTTAATTCTTAATGCTGAATGTTTTTAGTTGTATCTAAGGAATTAAGACACTAATTTCATTTTAGAATCAATTACCAAGGAATTGGGGTTGGGTACTTTAGAAAATCCGACCATTAGATGAAGTTGTATTTTGAGTTATACATATATTTGCGTGCAAAGGGAAAGGGATAAAGGATTCCAAACTCAACCACTTTTTAATTGTGTTTGGGCTCATCTCCAGTAATTTAGACATTTATATTCTGCAATTATTTTAATTCGTACTTCATTTTTAGTCTCGCAGTTTCTGTTCATTTATAAATATTAAATTTGGCACTTTTAATTCTATTTTTACGATTCTGCATTGAGTTAAATTTTGTTCTATTTCTACTCTCTTTTTTGTGACCTAGCTAGTGTTGTTCTTGTGATTTGATATTTGGCATTAATCCCTGTGGATGATAATCTTTTGTTACTTTAAAGATTTGGTACACTTGCCAAAAAGTTTATCAAGTTTCTGGCGCTGTTGCCGGGGATTAATTGTTAATATTAATTGTAGTGAGAATTTGTTAGCTTGGGTTAATAATTTCTACTGTGTTTTAAGTGTTTATAGAAAAATCTAAGTGCAACAGCTGAATTAGTTGATGCGAGGCAAGGAGAAGATAAAAAAGAGTAATTCATCTCCAGAACTTGATTAGCCAATTATTAATTTCAATAAAAAGAACCAAAAAAATAAGGACAAACTTCAGAAAAGGAAAAAGAAAAGGACACGCAAGAACATAATTCTGTAGAAATGGCAGGAAATTTCAATGAAGAACGGAGGATCTTGGATGATTATACACGTGCAAGATCGAAAGGAAACTCCACCTCCATTGTTCGACCTCCCATTCAAGCAAACAACTTTGAAATCAGACATGACCTTATGAGAGTGGTCCAGCAAGAACAATTTGTTGGGTATCCTTCCGAAGATCCCCACTTGCACATTCATAATTTTTTGACTATTTGTGGAATGATTAGAATGAATGGTGTGGGTGATGAGGCTATTCGATTGTCTCTTTTTCCATTTTCTTTAAGGGATAAGGTAAAGAGTTAGCTGTTATCCCAATCGAAAGGAAGCATCACTACTTGGGATGATTTAGAGAGCAAATTTCTGACAAAGTATTTTTCATCCTCTAGAATAACCAAGCTGAGGCAAGAAATTCTAGCTTTTTTTCAAATGGAAGATGAAACATTGCAAGAGGCATGTGATAGATTTAAAGAACTTTTGAGAAGATGTCCTTATCATGAGCTACCTGAATGGCTTTAATTGAGAACTTTTGATGATGGGCTGAATGTAGCAACAAAGACAATGGTAGATGCAGTAGCTGGAGGTTCATTTGCTCAAAAGACTTTAGAAGAAGCACGCCAACTTATTGAAGTCATGGCATCTAACAATTACAATCACAGGGAAAGGAATTCTTTAAAAAGGAGTGTGTTGGAACTGAATACCTTGGATGCATTGCTGGCTCAAAACAAATTAATGTCATAGCAACTGAATTTCCTCAATGCCAAACTTGAAAACATGAAATTTGAAAGGAATAAACTAGTACACTATGTAACTTCCACCAGCTAAGAGGAATATCATGAGGAAACTAGTGAAAACAAAGAAGAGTTTGTTCAGTAGCCTTTTTCTGAACAAGTGAGTTACATGAACAACTTACCAAGGCAGCAACAGAATTTTCCTTAGAGGACACCTTGGCAACAACAGCAGAATTTTCAGCAGAGGCCTACATATCCAGCCTCAAATTAGTAGAATTTCAGGCCAAATATGAATTTTGTTGCAAGATAATCAACTCCACCTCAATTCCCACAGTCCAACAACAAGCAATTCCAACAAAGTGGGCAGTATCAACAACAAAATTTTCAAAATTTTGGAGCCATCCAACAGCCCCCACAGCCCCAAGTTCCAGATCAGGTATCTACCCTTGAGAAGGCACTTTTGCAATTAACACAGACCACCAACTTGTTTATGCAAGACACGAGCACTAGGATGGCCAACCAAGAAGCTTCCATGAAAAATTTGGAAAACCAAATGGGGCAGATTATTAAAAAAAATCAGTGAACTAGCTCAAGACACATTCTCTGAGAATACAGTAGAAAATTCAAGAGAATATTGCAAAGCCATCACCACCAGAAGTGGCAAGATAGTGGAACCACAACTTAAAAAAACAAGATGAGAAGGAGGACAACTGAAGTTTTAGACAGGCCAGGGATACTGCAGAAAATAGAAATGGGGAGAGTGAGCCTGAACAAGAAAAACCAGAAGAGGAAGTTAGGGCTAAGCAGAAGTTGGAGGTGGATGAGGCATACTAAAACAGAACCAAGAAATAGATCTTGAAAGACTCGTACAAGCCTCAAATTCTCCCTCCCTATGTTAAGTTGCCATATCCACACATTCCCAAGAACAAAGAAAAAGAAGAGCAAATTTTCAAATTCTTGGACATTTTCAGAAAGTTGCACATAAATATACCATTTGCAGAAGCATTAGAGCAAAAATCTTTGTATGCCAAGTTCATGAAGGACTTGCTTTCAAATAAGAGGAAATTGAAGGAGGATGCTACAATCGTTCTTACTGAGGAATGTAGTGCCATATTGTAGTAAAAGTTGCCTCCATAGTTGAAAGATCTAGGAAGTTTCACAATCTCTTGCACTATAAAGAATGTGACAATTGGAAAGGCTTTAAGTGACTTGAGGGCTAGCATCAACTTAATGCCACTCTCTATTTTGAAGAAATTGGGAGTGGGTGAAGTTAAAAGTACAAGAATGACTCTTCAATTAGCTGACCGATCCATATATGGTGTAATGAAGGATGTGTTGGTGAAGGTAGACAAGCTAATTTTCCCAGTAAATTTTGTTATCTTGGATATGGATGAAGATTCTGAAGTGCCTGTGATCTTAGGAAGACTTTTTTTAGCCATCGGAAGAGCACTAATTGATGTGCAACAAGGGCAATTAATTTTGCGACTACATGATGAGAAAGTTACATTCAAGGTATTCGAGGCAATGCAACACCCGAATGACAAGGATACTTGAATAGATACATTGGATTCACTTATTGCAGCAACAACTTTGAAGCAGAACACTTCTGCATATCCATTAGAGAAGGTGGTAGCCAATGCAATTATGAAAATTGATGAGGAGAGTGATGAAGAAATGCAAGAGTGCATGCAAAAGCTAGAAGCTCAACCAATTTTGCAGAAAAGTTCAAAAGGAGAATCATGGAAAGGAGAAAGAGTGGAAGAATCACCATGAGTTGAAGCCTCTTCCCCCACACTTAAAATATGCTTTTATGAGGGAGAAGGAAATACTTCATGCAATAAGAAACAACATCCTATCACAATTAGATGAAGAGGAGTTATTGAGAGTGCTGAGGGAGCAAGTAATAACAAAAAAGGAGTTTCCTAAGTTGTATAAGTTGGAGTTTGGGGCAGGACTCAACCCAATCATTCAACAACCATTATTTATTTATTGTTATAATGTTTTGCAGGCAAGAGAAGTGCTGCCCTTTTGTTGTAGCAATTACAATTTGGGAAGCAGGCACACTTCATGTCCATGGCTGCCTCAATACGGTATTTCGTCTTCACAATTCTACCCTTGCTCTGTTTTATTCTCCCTTGCTGAATAGTTTAAGTGCCCATAAAAAAAGAACATGATCCAACAAGTTTAATATTTAGTTATTTGTCATAATAACTTTTTATTAGTAATAAAAAAATCTAATATATATATATATATATTAAACAAAAAAATTAAAAAAATATTATTATAATAATATTATATTTTTATAATAAAAATTAAAAAATTTATAATAATAATAATAATATTTTTAAAATTTAGTTTTATATTTTAAAAAGAGGAAGGAAGCCCAGTAGTTTACGGTAACATAACTCAGACTACGTCTCTACAGTTCCTCTTGACGCTTCCATCACTAATCAAGCACACATACTCACCTCACTTTATGTTTTTCTAACCCTCTCCATCTCCGCTATCTCCCTGTGCCCCCCAATTCCTCTTCCGAACCCTAAAATCAATTGTTTAGAGTTTCACAAGATACATTCTTTTCTTTTATGCTTTCAACTCTGTTTTGGGGTGTGATTCTTCTTCTCCTTTCTTCTACATTTATGAATCTGTGTGTTTGTGTTCTCTGTTCCCTTACTGTTTCACTTGCTTCTACATTTTGTTTTATTTTATTTTATGTTTATGAGTTTTCTATAGCATGGGTGTTTGATTTTGTTCCTTCACTTGGTCTGAAATGTTGGATCCTTGTCCCAAGAACGAAGTTGGCTACTGTTGAAAGTGATTTTTCCATTTTAGGGCACAAACTCTAGCTATGTTATTTCTTGAAAAAAATTTTGTGGGTTTATTTTGTGATTTCCTTGCAATTTTTGTGTACATCTCTGTCTTTGTTTACTGTAATTTCTTTTAAAAAAAATTTAAACAACAATTGCTTCTTTTGTCGCTGCTCAGTTTTCAAATTTTACACAGTTTGAATCTCAGTGTTAATTTTCTAATTTTTCTGAACTTTTGATTCTTTTGGGTGCGAGCTTTGCCATGTTTTGAAAATTTTTGGAACTCTTTGCACTTTGGTCACTGTAAATCTGTTCTTGCAAGCTTGCATAATGCATGCTATTTTTCTTTTCATTCATCAGGGTGTTGCAGTTATGCTATGTTTTTTTTTTTTTTTTTAAATTTAGATGTCCAATGTTTTAAGATATTGAGTGCTATAAGTTGTAAGTACGTGTGCTATCACCATAGTCCATAATATTAATTTTAGTTTTTGCACAAATTTTGTGATAAATTGAAATTTTTATGTGCTTATATGATCTCTTTTTCTGAGAAATTTCAATTTTTATGGGCATTGGTTGCATTTTCTGTTTGAAAAATTACACAGCACTTTGGGATATAAGTAATTCACTGTCTCGTTAGTTGGCTGTTATGTTAACTTCATGGTTGTAGACTTCATTGAGTGACCCAATTGTTATTTTGAAACTTCATGATCCCTTGGTTTTTGTTGTTCGGTACCCTTTCATTGCAAAACTCATTAAATGCCAATTTTTCTGTCACACGCAATTGTCATATATGATGTTTTTTTTTTTTATATACAATTCCCCTTGTGTGAATTTCTGAAAATTAGTCTTACTCGATGTTTATACAGTATGCATAAATTCTTGATAGCTTTCTTCTCTTTTGGTGCATTTTTTATTTTACCTAAGGTTCATTAATGTTCTCAACTTTAAACAATTTTTGAGGCATATTATTTTAATTCACTGGATGTTGTAGATGCTAAAAAATTTCAATGATATATGATAAATTGACAGGATACCAATGGCAACACCAAACCAGTGCATGGTTTGTCACTTTTAGAGTTATGCCTTTCATATCTTATGAATTTTTGCACAACAATGTTTTGAATCTATTCTGAAAATTTTTGTGTGCAGTCCTCTAAGTTTTGTTCATTGTCACTAATTCTTGAACATGATTTTAATAGTGATATAATTTATTTTACGTAGATTATTTACTTTGCTGTGAATTTCTCCCTTGTACAAATTTTATTTGAATTTTTAAATTGGTTATTGTCAAATTTTTGGGAATGTATGTTACCTATGCATGTTAATTTTCTGGGAATGAGAGTGCAATTTTATTTTATTTTTGTAATGAGCAGTGTATGCACAACATACTGTAATAAGCAGTGTATGCAAGTTAACAAGGGCGATCTATGGACTAAACTAGGCTCCAAGAGCCTAGTATGAAAGCTTCAAAATTGCTTTACTTAGTTGGAGATTTTATAATACCAAAAGTGATTCATCACTATTTGGTCTTAGAGAGAAAAATGATATCACCTACTTGCTTTTCTATGTTGATGATATTATAGTGACATGGAGCAATTCTAGTATCATAATGAGCGTTGTCAAGCAAATGAACCTATTGTTTATCTTAAAAGATCTTAGCAAATTGCACTATATCCTTGTAGTAGAAGTGAGTAGAGACTCAAGTGGCATATACTTCAGACAAACTAAGTACATCACCAATTTGTTAAAGAAATTTAATATAAAAAATGCCTCTTCTTGTCCAACACCTATTGTTATAGGAAAACAGTTTACAACACAGGGGAGAGAGTTAATGAAAAATTTATCCTTATTTTAAAAGGCAATTGGAGCACCTAAATATTTAATAAATGTTAGACCAGTGATTGTCTTTTAAGCTAATAAGTTAAGTCAAAACATAAGTTCCTAAATGGTCCAACATTGGCAAGG